TTAACTCCCTTTCTTAGCCACACTGGACAACAATGTTCAACTGTGTGGCAATACTTCAAACTGTCAGATGATAAAACAAACATAAAGCGCCCAATTATGTTTCTAGGTTTGTCAGCACCATGCCCCTGCTCGTGGGTTTCACCGAAGTGGTAAACGTCTGAGACCTGCATCACTTCGGGCTTTCCTCCCATATTAAGCTGACACGCCGTGCTATAACTGGAATACTGTTAAAAGCTGTGTTAAACCCAACTCACTCACTCTCTCAACACTTCTGCTGCATGCTGTATCCTCCAAGTCAAGTGTTGGCAGCAAGACTCCTCCTGCTTGGCCCAACTAGATAGATTCAGCTGGTTTGTGAAGTTGAATATAATTCAGATTTTGTATGAAGGTTCTCATCTAGGGTGAGCTGTGAAGCAACAGTATATTACAAACAAAATAAGATATGTTATTGAGTATTTCTATGTAAAATATAATTCTGTTGTCTTTTTAAGGATTGTTAAACAACCTGGATTGGGGTTAAATTCAGCCTCAAACGCCACTATTATTGACAAACAACTATTATTCACTAACACCAGTGTTATTGACAAACGCCACTATTATTGCCAAACAACTTTTATTCACTAACACCAGTGTTATTGACAAACGCCACTATTATTGACAAACAACTATTATACACTAACAGCAGTGTTATTGACAAACGCCACTATTATTGACAAACAACTATTATTCACTAACACCAGTGTTATTGACAAACGCCGCTATTATTGACAAACAACTATTATTCACTAACACCAGTGTTATTGACAAACACAACTATTTGTGACAAACAACTATTATTCACTTACACCAGTGTTATTGACAAACACAACTACTTGTGACAAACAACTATTATACACTAACAGCAGTGTTATTGACAAACGCCACTATTATTGACAAACAACTATTATTCACTAACACCAGTGTTATTGACAAACGCCGCTATTATTGACAAACAACTATTATTCACTAACACAAGTGTTACTGACAAACGCCACTATTATTGACAAACAACTATTATTCACTAACACCAGTGTTATTGACAAACACAACTACTTGTGACAAACAACTATTATACACTAACAGCAGTGTTATTAACAAACGCCACTATTATTGACAAACAACTATTATTCACTAACACCAGTGTTTCTGACAAACGCCATTATTTGTGACAAACAACTATTATTCACTAACACATGTGTTATTGACAAACGCCACTATTATTGACAAACAACTATTATTCACTAACACAAGTGTTACTGACAAACGCCACTATTATTGACAAACAACTATTATTCACTAATACCAGTGTTACTGACAAACACAACTATTTGTGACAAACAACTATTATACATTAATACCAGTGTTATTAACAATTGCCTCTATTATTGACAAACAACTATTATTCACTAATACCAGTGTTACTGATAAACGCCGCTATTATTGACAAACAACTATTATTCACTAAAACCAGTGTTTTTGACAAACTCCGCTGTTATTAACAAACAACTATTATACACTAACAGCAGTGTTATTGACAAACGCCACTATTATTGACAAACAACTATAATTCACTAACACCAGTGTTATTGACAAACGCCACTATTATTGACAAACAACTATTATACACTAACAGCAGTGTTATTGACAAACGCCACTATTATTGACAAACAACTATAATTCTCTAACACCAGTGTTATTGACAAACGCCATTATTATTGACAAACAACTATTATTCACTTACACCAGTGTTATTGACAAACGCCGCTATTATTGACAAACAACTATTATTCACTAACACCAGTGTTATTGACAAACGCCACTATTATTGACAAACAACTATTATTCACTTACACAAGTGTTACTGACAAACGCCACTATTATTGACAAACAACTATTATTCACTAATACCAGTGTTACTGACAAACACAACTTTTTGTGACAAACAACTATTATACATTAATACCAGTGTTATTGACAAACGCCACTATTATTGACAAACAACTATTATACACTAACACCAGTGTTATTGACAAACGCCGCTATTATTGACAAACAACTATTATTCACTAAAACCAGTGTTTTTGACAAACTCCACTATTATTAACAAACAACTATTATAAACTAACAGCAGTGTTATTGACAAACGCCACTATTATTGACAAACAACTATAATTCTCTAACACCAGTGTTATTGACAAACGCCACTATTATTGACAAACAACTATTGTACACTAACAGCAGTGTTATTGACAAACGCCGCTATTAGTGACAAACAACTATTATTCACTAACACAAGTGTTACTGACAAACACCACTTTTATTGACAAACAACTATTATTCACTAACACCAGTGTTATTGACAAACACAACTACTTGTGACAAAGAACTATTATACACTAACAGCAGTGTTATTAACAAACGCCACTATTATTGACAAACAACTATTATTCTCTAACACCAGTGTTTCTGACAAACGCCATTATTTGTGACAAACAACTATTATTCACTAACACAAGTGTTATTGACAAACGCCACTATTATTGACAAACAACTATTATTCACTAACACAAGTGTTACTGACAAACGCCACTATTATTGACAAACAACTATTATTCACTAATACCAGTGTTATTGACAAACGCCGCTATAATTGACAAACAACTATTATTCACTAAAACCAGTGTTTTTGACAAACTCCACTATTATTAACAAACAACTATTATACACTAACAGCAGTGTTTTTGACAAACGCCTCTTTTATTGACAAACAACTATTATACACTAACACAAGTGTTATTGACAAACGCCACTATTATTGACAAACAACTATTATTCACTAACACCAGTGTTATTGACAAACACAACTATTTGTGACAAACAACTATTATTCACTAACACCAGTGTTACTGACAAACGCCATTATTTGTGACAAACAACTATTATTCACTAACACAAGTGTTATTGACAAACGCCACTATTATTGACAAACAACTATTATTCACTAACACAAGTGTTACTGACAAACGCCACTATTATTGACAAACAACTATTATTCACTAACACCAGTGTTATTGACAAACGCCGCTATTATTGACAAACAACTATTATTCACTAACACCAGTGTTATTGACAAACACAACTATTTGTGACAAACAACTATTATTCACTAACACCAGTGTTATTGACAAACACAACTACTTGTGACAAACAACTATTATACACTAACAGCAGTGTTATTGACAAACGCCACTATTATTGACAAACAAGTATTATTCACTAACAGCAGTGTTAATGACAAACGCCACTATTATTGACAAACAACTATTATTCACTAACACCAGTGTTACTGACAAACGCCATTATTTGTGACAAACAACTATTATTCACTAACACAAGTGTTATTGACAAACGCCACTATTATTGACAAACAACTATTATTCACTAACACCAGTGTTACTGACAAACACAACTATTTGTGACAAACAACTAATATACATTAATACCAGTGTTATTAACAAACGCCTCTATTATTGACAAACAACTATTATTCACTAATACCAGTGTTACTGATAAACGCCACCATTATTGACAAACGACTATTATTCATTAACACCAGACCCCCAATTTTTGATTTCATGGGTCGTGACTGGAAATAGGAGTAATGAAACGGTGTATACTCAGTGTACTGAACTGTTAGATCTAATCATTACTTTTATTATAGGAACTTTATATTTCTTGTCAATAATTTTGGTACAATTAATGTTACTGTGGCTCCCTTAAGATGCAATATATATTTTTTTCTGCGTCCATTCCATGTATTTGTGCATTCTGGACGCACATTCCTGCATTCCTGTTATTGAAAAACACATCAGCCGTGTATATGTAGGTTATAATGAGAATGGAGTTCTGTGGGTGCCTGAAGTCCACACCTGCAGGGACACCTGGCCAGGTGCCATGTTGGAAGTGTAACTTGGTTTGCTCTGTTTTCAGTCTTTCTTCGCTCCTCAAGTCCTAATGGTGTTTCTGACTGGAATGGCAGCGTTCCGAGGGGACAGTTTCCACGACATCAAGCAGAAGGTCAAACAGGTACATCACACTGTAGGAAGTGTAGTCTGTAGTGTGTTGGCAGCAGCGTATACGTGATCACGTCTGGACCTGACCATCCATTTATTGACTTATTAACTCCGGAGTCCCTCCGTCCTACCATAACTTTTGTCACACTTGATAGTCTCTTGTGGGCATTTTCCTGAGACGCTCACAAAACAAGCAACATAATGCTAATAATGCTTAAGCTTGCATGTAAAACAATTACAAAGTCATTTGGTCATGTTTGTAGATTATTGTCTTGAAGAAATATGTATGTGTAATTGAGTCAATAGACCAGGGAAGCTGTATCTTATAAACTGTAGCCTTCCGGTGTGTTGGATGTCCATCATGGCACGATATGAAAGGAAAACCACATTTGTATTACGTTTAAATACAGTCTGGTTGTCCTCTCAATAAAACATGCTGACTGTGCTAAAAGATATGCTTCTCAAACAAGAAAGGCATATTTGAAAAAGAAATGTGCATTAATGTCTTTGAATTTGGCTATGCATTACTTTTTGTATTCTGTATTTGGTCAGTTAGAGGACAATATGTGTTTTATTCTGTCAGTTACAGGACAATACGTTGCAGAGGGGTATAGTGCAGTAGATGGAACATTAAAAAAAGACAGTCTGCGGGTTGGGAGGTATTTATTTCTGTCCCCGACAGTCATATGGCGATGATATACGGACAAGGTTTTCACCCCTGTGGATGTACTGGGGTGTGTCTGTCCCTGCCCACAGCAGCGACATGCATGTATAGTGAGACCTTGGCACTATTGCTTTCCTTGTCCTTAGTCGTGCAGAGTTAGTGGCAGTGTAAGCTTCAGTGTATTAGAGGGGGAAGAGAAAGGTAGAGTTGCATAAGGCCAAGCTGACTGGCCAAGGCTATTGTATTAAACAATGGACGGGTCAAGAAACAATAGAAAAGAGAATGGAATAACCTGTCCACCCTTAAACTGAAATACCTAAGACCTAATAGAGAAGAAGTGAAAACTAGCCAAGTGCATGACACTTGACCATCGACAACTAATGGTCAATCAACCTGAAATGGACCCAAAGTAAAAAATATAAAAAGCTGAAATATACATATACAATATATACAACTGCCTGCCACAATATGTGTTGTATTGCGTCAGTTACATGGCAATTTGTGTTGTATTGTGTCAGTTACAGTACAATATGTGTTGTATTGCATCAGTTACATGGCAATATGTGTTGTATTCTGTCAGTTGCATGGCAATATGTGTTGTATTCTGTCAGTTACACGACAATATGTGTTGTATTCTGTCAGTTAAAGTACAATATGTGGTGTATTGCGTCAGTTACACAACAATATGTGTTGTATTCTGTCAGTTACAGTACAATATGTGTTGTATTGCATCAGTTACATGGCAATATGTGTTGTATTCTGTCAGTTACACGACAATATGTGTTGTATTCTGTCAGTTAAAGTACAATATGTGTTGTATTACATCAGTTACACGGCAATATGTGTTGTATTGTGTCAGTTACAGTACAATATGTGTTGTATTGCATCAGTTACATGGCAATATGTGTTGTATTCTGTCAGTTACACGGCAATATGTGTTGTATTCTGTCAGTTAAAGTACAATATGTGTTGTATTGCATCAGTTACATGGCAATATGTGTTGTATTCTGTCAGTTACAGGACAATATGTGTTGTATTGTGTCAGTTACACGACAATATGTGTTGTATTCTGTCAGTTAAAGTACAATATGTGTTGTATTCTGTCAGTTACAGGACAATATGTGTTGTATTCTGTCAGTTACAGGACAATATGTCTTGTATTCTGTCAGTTACAGGACAATATGTGGTGTATTGCGTCAGTTACACAACAATATGTGTTGTGTTGCATCAGTTACACGGCAATATGTGTTGTATTGCGTCAGTTACAGTACAATATGTGTTGTATTGTATCAGTTACACGGCAATATGTGTTGTATTGTGTCAGTTACAGTACAATATGTGTTGTATTGCATCAGTTACACGGCAATATGTGTTGTATTGCATCAGTTACACGGCAATATGTGTTGTATTCCATCAGTTACATGGCAATATGTGTTGTATTGTGTCAGTTACAGTACAATATGTGTTGTATTGCATCAGTTACACGACAATATGTGTTGTATTCTGTCAGTTACAGAACAATATGTGTTGTATTCTGTCAGTTACAGGACAATATGTCTTGTATTCTGTCAGTTACAGTACAATATGTGGTGTATTGCGTCAGTTACACAACAATATGTGTTGTATTGCATCAGTTACACGGCAATATGTGTTGTATTCCATCAGTTACATGGCAATATGTGTTGTATTGTGTCAGTTACAGTACAATATGTGTTGTATTGCATCAGTTACATGGCAATATGTGTTGTATTGTGTCAGTTACAGTACAATATGTGTTGTATTCCATCAGTTACATGGCAATATGTGTTGTATTGTGTCAGTTACAGTACAATATGTGTTGTATTGCATCAGTTACACGGCAATATGTGTTGTATTGTGTCAGTAAAAGTACAATATGTGTTGTATTGCATCAGTTACACGGCAATATGTGTTGTATTCTGTCAGTTACAGTACAATATGTGTTGTATTGCATCAGTTACACGGCAATATGTGTTGTATTCTGTCAGTTACAGTACAATATGTGTTGTATTGCATCAGTTACACGGCAATATGTGTTGTATTGCGTCAGTTACACAACAATATGTGTTGTATTGCATCAGTTACACGGCAATATGTGTTGTATTCCATCAGTTACATGGCAATATGTGTTGTATTGTGTCAGTTACAGTACAATATGTGTTGTATTGCATCAGTTACACGGCAATATGTGTTGTATTGTGTCAGTTACAGTACAATATGTGTTGTATTGCATCAGTTACACGGCAATATGTGTTGTATTCTGTCAGTTACACGGCAATATGTGTTGTATTGAATCAGTTACACGGCAATATGTGTTGTATTCTGTCAGTTACAGTACAATATGTGTTGTATTGCATCAGTTACACGGCAATATGTGTTGTATTCTGTCAGTGACACGGCAATATGTGTTGTATTGTGTCAGTTACACAGCAATATGTGTTGTATTGTGTCAGTTACAGTACAATATGTGTTGTATTGCATCAGTTACAGGACAATATGTGTTGTATTCTGTCAGTTACAGGACAATATGTGTTGTATTGCGTCAGTTACACAACAATATGTGTTGTATTGCGTCAGTTACAGTACAATATGTGTTGTATTGCGTCAGTTACAGGACAATATGTGTTGTATTCTGTCAGTTACAGGACAATATGTGTTGTATTCTGTCAGTTACAGGACAATATGTGTTGTATTGTGTCAGTTACACGGCAATATGTGTTGTATTCTGTCAGTTACAGGACAATATGTGTTGTATTCTGTCAGTTACACGGCAATATGTGTTGTATTGCGTCAGTTACAGTACAATATGTGTTGTATTCTGTCAGTTACACAACAATATGGACTACACTGTGGAGTAGACATGAAGCTGTGCTGAAGAGCATTCAGTCTATTCATTGTTTGTGTTTCCTTTTTCAGGACTACCTTACAATTCTGATGACAAATTACAAGGTAAGGAAATCTGCAACACCTCATATACTAAATAAGCATTCACTTGGAGGAAACTGCAGCTGTATTCACAGAGACCTCCTTCTTGAGGGGTTGAAAAATCCATCTCCATTACCCAGTTAATTTGTGATTGTTTGCTTACATATATGCATATTCTTCACACACAATCTTCACACAAAGACTCAACACACAGTCCTCACTCACAGACAAACCCTACAGTCTCAACTAACGGACTCCACACACAGTCTCCACACACAGTCTCCACACCATCTCCACTCACTGTCTCCACACCATCTCCACACACAGTCTCCACACAGTCCACACCATCTCCAAACACAGTCTCCACACAATCTCCACACACTGTCTCCACACCATCTCCACACACAGTCTCCACACAGTCTCCACACACAGTCTCCACACACAGTCTCCACACACAGTCTCCACACCATCTCCACTCACTGTCTCCACACACAGTCTCCACACACAGTCTCCACACCATCTCCACTCACTGTCTCCACACCATCTCCACACACAGTCTCCACACAGTCCACACACTGTCTCCACACACTGTCTCCACACCATCTCCAAACACAGTCTCCACACAATCTCCACACACTGTCTCCACACCATCTCCACACACAGTCTCCACACAGTCTCCACACACAGTCTTCACACACAGTCTTCACACACAGTCTCCACACCATCTCCACACACTGTCTCCACACAATCTCCACACAGTCTCCACACAGTCCACACACTGTCTCCACACACTGTCTCCACACACAGTCTCCACACACTGTCTCCACACAGTCTCCACACCATCTCCACACACCATCTCCACACACTGTCTCCACACAGTCTCCACACACAGTCTTCACACACAGTCTCCACACACAGTCTCCACACACTGTCTCCACACACAGTCTCCACACACTGTCTCCACACAGTCTCCACACCATCTCCACACACCATCTCCACACACTGTCTCCACACAGTCTCCACACACAGTCTTCACACACAGTCTCCACACACAGTCTCCACACGATCTCCACACACTGTCTCCACACCATCTCCACACACTGTCTCCACACAGTCCACACAGTCCACACACTGTCTCCACACCATCTCCACACACAGTCTCCACACGATCTCCACACACTGTCTCCACACCATCTCCACACACAGTCTCCACACAGTCTTCACACAGTCTCCACACGATTTCCACACACTGTCTCCACACACTGTCTTCACACACAGTCTCCACACACTGTCTCCACACGATCTCCACACACTGTCTCCACACCATCTCCACACACTGTCTCCACACACAGTCTCCACACAGTCCACACAGTCCACACACTGTCTCCACACCATCTCCACACACAGTCTCAACACACTGTCTCCACACCATCTCCACACACAGTCTCCACACACTGTCTCCACACAGTCCACACACAGTCTCCACACGATCTCCACACACTGTCTCCACACAATCTCCACACACAGTCTCCACACACTGTCTCCACACAGTCTCCACAGTCCATACACAGTCCACACAATGTCTCCACACCATCTCGTCACACAGTCTCCACACACTGTCTCCACACACAGTCCACACACTGTCCACACAACGTCTCCACACCATCTCCACACACTGTCTCCACACACAGTCTCCACAGTCCACAAACAGTCCACACGTCTCCACACCATCTCCACACACTGTCTCCACAACATCTCCACACACTTTCTCCACACACTGTCTCCACACAGTCTCCACACACTGTCTCCACACACAGTATCCACACACTGTCTCCACACACAGTATCCACACTGAATGTCAGGGTTGTTTTTGCAGGTGTGGCCGGCTGCACAGCTCATCAACTTCTACCTCATCCCACTTCAACACAGGTTTGTTCCTTCATCCTACTTCAACACAGGTTTTTAACTTCATCCCACTTCAACACAGGTTTGTAACTTCATCCCACTCCAACACAGGCGTGTTCCTTCATCCCACTTCAACACAGGTTTGTTCCTTCATCCCACTTCAACACAGGTTTGTTCCTTCATCCCACTTCAACACAGGTGTGTTCTTTCATCCCACTTCAACACAGGTGTGTTCCTTCATCCAACTTCAACACAGGTGTGTTCGTTCATCCCACTTCAACCCACTTCAAGACAGGTGTGTTCCTTCATCCTACTTCAACACAGGTTTGTTCCTTCATCCTACTTCAACACAGGTGTGTTCCTTCATCCCACTTCAACACAGGTGTGTTCCTTCATCCCACTTCAACACAGGTGTGTTCCTTCATCCCACTTCAACACAGGTTTGTTCCTTCATCCTACTTCAACACAGGTTTGTTCCTTCATCCCACTTCAACACAGGTGTGTTCCTTCATCCCACTTCAACACAGGTGTGTTCCTTCATCCCACTTCAACACAGGTTTGTTCCTTCATCCCACTTCAACACAGGTTTGTTCCTTCATCCCACTTCAACACAGGTTTGTTCCTTCATCCCACTTCAACACAGGTTTGTTCCCTCATCCCACTTCAACACAGGTTTGTTCCTTCATCCCACTTCAACACAGGTTTGTTCCTTCATCCCACTTCAACACAGGTTTGTTCCTTCATCCCACTTCAACACAGGTTTGTTCCTTCATCCCACTTCAACACAGGTTTGTTCCTTCATCCCACTTCAACACAGGTGTGTTCCTTCATCCCACTTCAGGGCGGTCGGGTAGCCTAGTGGTTAAAGCGTCAGCTCGTCACGCCGAAGACCCGGGTTCGAATCCCGACATGGGTACAATGTGTGAAGCCCATTTCTGGTGTCCCCCGCCGTGATATTGCTGGAATATTGCTAAAAGCGGCGTAAAACCAAACTCACTCACTCACTCACTCATCCCACTTCAACACAGGTTTGTAACTTCATCCCACTTCAATACAGGTGTGTTCCTTCATCCCACTTCAACACAGGTTTGTTCCTTCATCCCACTTCAACACAGGTTTGTTCCTTCATCCCACTTCAACTCAGGTTTGTAACTTCATCCCACTTCAATACAGGTTTGTTCCTTCATCCCACTTCAACACAGGTTTGTTCCTTCATCCCACTTCAACACAGGTTTGTTCCTTCATCCCACTTCAACACAGGTTTGTTCCTTCATCCCACTTCAACACAGGTTTGTTCCTTCATCCCACTCCAACACAGGTTTGTTCCCTCATCCCACTTCATCTCTGCTAAATGGCATCTGATAATATTTTTTTTATTTGATGTTTACATGATATACAGCTTTTCCACTGGAAGAGAGGCCAGTCACATGACCACGAAATTGACATTCATAAGCATATGAATGACATTGACGTTCATACGTTGTTCATGAAATGATGTAAACGCTGAAGAACTACCTCCACTTTCCTTGCACAATCGTAGTTTCAACTCGAGCGATCTAGTCTGACAAGGACAGTCTGCAGCAATCTTGAGTTGACCTCAGTATCTATCTTTTATAACCACCTTTCAATGATTGGCCAACTGATTAATGATGACTAACACATGTAACTGCCACATGTTCATTAACAACTTCGGAAATCTCTCGCATATTACAACACGCTGTCATTGTGACTGACTTACTGAGGTAGTTCTTAACAGACCTTTCTCCCCCAGTGATGATATTGTTTGAAAATATGTGTTGTGTCCGATGGTCCTGTGCAGCCAAGCAGGGCACACATCCTCTCACGTCACCTCTCTTTTTAGGGAACCATTTTATTCCATGATACAGCTGGTTGTTGTACGGCTGTCAGTGTAAACATGAAGTCACATGAATCGATCTAGCGCTACATCCCTCGAGGTAGAAAATAGTGATATAAAAAATTATAAGAATTGACTTTCACTTTGTGTGAGTTCATTGGAGCATGAACCTTCATAGAGTGAGGGCCAAACATTGTATGAACGTTGTCGCAAGCTCCAATGTTAATAGTTTGGCCCTCACTCTATGAAGGTTCATACTCCAATGAACTCACGCAAAGTGAAAGTCAATTGCATGTTTGTGCCTTCATCCCAATTCGTTCCTGCTGAATGACATCTGATATTGCAGGTGTCTTAGAAAACGTGACCAACTCCAATGCCACTGGGTTCTAACATCTGAAGTGTCTACGGTCTAGGTCATCTTAGAGGTTATCCTTGAATAGAAATAACTGATCAATATTCAATTCCTTCTGAGGAAAGCTAGGGACATGGCATTTTCTGGTTTAAATTCTAAGTATGTGTTTCCCAAAACTTCTTGAGACTTAAAGTGCATAGTGGCATGTTAGAACTGTCATGTCTTTAGGAAATGGGCGTGAAAGGGCTGCTCATGTATGTGCCCGTAGTTTTCCATGTGGACAGTGGCTGTATGTTGCACAACAACAGAATGTAAGTATGTATCTATTTGATGCACCATTAGTGTCAGGATGTCATTTTAAAGACTCTATGGTGTTTTTTCAGAGTTCTGTTTGTCAACTTCGTGGCCCTGGGATGGAATACATACATGGCCTGGATGTCAGAGAAGAAGTGAGGTCGGGTCGCCCTCTCTCAAGATTGGGCATCAAGGGACTTACCTGACTAAATTCCAGGTTCTACCCTTGCCTAAATTTGCTGGAATTTCTGGGCTCTTTCATATCCATATTCTGATCGATAATCAAAATCTATATTGTAATAAAACAGGTCTTACTTCATGAAGTGTGTCAGATCAGGTGAGCACCTTGATTAAAAACATGAAAAGATTTAGAAAATATCTGTTAACGCCGAGTTGGCAGTACACATGCTTTGCAATTCCTGCAGTTGACAGAAATCTGCACGACAGTTTACAAACCGGATGTCGATTTCGTTACGTGATTTTGATTTGAGTGTGCATAGACTCGTTAGTCCAGCCAAACTCCATAATTCCAGCCTAGTTCGGCAAAGGTGGAAAATGGACATTTATAGTCAGTTAACGCCCTTGCCTCGGGAAGATGGAGCTGTCACTCGAGGTCAGGTTGTCACCTTTGCTGTCAGTGGTTGCCTGCCCCTCTGGCGTCGTAGAACTTCGTCATGACATGACCTTCACACCATGACCTTCATGACAGGACAACTGCTGCTTGACCAGGACACGGGCTGACACCATTGGTCATATACAAGGAGTCAGCAGCCCTTGTCGGACGAATGGTTATGTAAAGTAACTAGGCTTGGGGATAAGACAACTAGTCCATCTAGATTGTTACTAGTCTGGTAACGGGATCAGGTGGTCAAGCTTGCTGACCTGTTGATGTATGTCATTCATATCCCACTTGCATGGACCGATGATCATGTTATCAATCACTGCATTGTCTGGTCCAGACTCGATTATTGACAGACCACCGTCATTAAACAACAAACAAAAACAAACTAGTCTGGGACTAGCGGTCTAGTGGCCGTGTCTATCACTGCATGTGATGCCCCAGATGAGGTGGAGGCAGGGGCAGAAACAGACATTGCCATGAGTTTGGTATTTTTATATAATTGTGAGTAGTATAGGCAATGGGGACGACCACGACTTCAGCAGTAGTATAGGCAATGGGGACGACCACGACTCCAGCAGTAGTATAGGCAATGGGGACGACCACGACTCCAGCAGTAGTATAGGCAATGGGGACGACCACGACTCCAGTGCAAGATCCAGCGCCTGATAATGTTTACATGAAGGTCGAAAATTTTATATGATGGCGAGGGTGGGTTGCGCCGTACCCCCATCACCTATACTTCTTTGTGCAAATTGAAGGTCAAGGTCCTAGAATTTCTACCAGGAAGTTCATCTGCCGGTGATTGTCTACACTACTGTGACACTTCTGACATTAAAAATGGAGAAATATAATCAGTATATTGGGTTTTGTATTCGCTTGATTTATTCTGTGTATCAAGAGCCATATTGTTGACTGTATGTAAGGAACTAAATTTTATATACAGGTGTAAAATATGTATATGTTTATAACCACAACATTCAGAATATCAGGAGATAAATCATGAAACTCATTTATGGAAACATTAAACTCGCATGCAGAACTCACAATACATTGATATATATTTATAACATTAAACATTCGATGTAGACATGTATTATATAAATAAGACCCATGGCTTAGATATTAAGCAAGATTCATTTATATACAGCATGTACTATTGATAGAAATCATATTCCATATAAGGAAGAACCCTGCCCTATCCGGGATGGAGCTGTATCAGGAAGAACCCTTCCATGTCCGGGATGGAGCTGTATCAGGTGTGCCACAGGGTTTATTTGTGCACACAGTAATTAATGTGTGCCAACCAAATGTCATGGCACCAAGGATAGATAGATAGTTTGCCTCTTCATCTCCATTGAGGTTGTTAATACCTATGGTCATTTCTGAACATTGAAATTTATGATTGCATTAAGCATGTTCATTAAGTCATCATTTTACATTATCCTATTAATTTGTGGTGTCATCATGTTTTCACAAGGTATTGTTCTTAACATAATGTGTATTCTGAGTGACCTTCAGACACCAGGAAATTATTTTCATCGTGCCATTGTCACAAATATACAAAGAATTTCAAACCCTGTCGGTCAGCAACATGTCTCTTGAGAAGACAAAAGTTCTGAAGCGTCTGTAAAATCTCTAAAACTTTGGAAAGACGAATTCATTGACCGTATCCATGTATAACGTGGCTGCTTATATACAGTCAACAATTGTGTCGTGTCGCATGCCACTGTTGTATATGAATGCATCATTTGAATAACATAAGCTAATCTATTGCCATATTTGCCACATATTTACTGTATCTGTGAAGAATTTGAGTATTTGAATGTCTCATCTTGTCAACATGATCTCTAAGCCGATGTCTCATCTTGTCAACACGATCTCTGACCTGATGTCTCATCTTGTCAACACGATCTCTGACCTGATGTCTCATCTTGTCAACACGATCTCTAAGCCGATGTCTCATCTTGTCGACACAATCTCTGACCTGATGTCTCATCTTGTCAACACGATCTCTGACCTGATGTCTCATCTTGTCAACACGATCTCTGACCTGATGTCTCATCTTGTCAACACGATCTCTGACCTGATGTCTCATCTTGTCAACACGATCTCTAAGCCGATGTCTCATCTTGTCAACATGATCTCTGACCTTAAAGGGGCACTGATCTAAAGCAATTTCCCGGGACTGGTTGTTGCCTTTGTTATTGTTTTTTCCCAGTGAGTACCCGGATGTATAGCAGAAATCTAGACTAGTTCGCGACCTCTGCTGCGCCATTCGTAAGCGCATTAGTCACTTTTATGGGTAGTAATAAGGGCGTATGGTCACATTGATCAACAAAATGAAATACAGTTTTCGAGATAATAAGGAAATGTATGTATCTTTGTGGGTAGCATCGGTAATGGTGACGAAGTTTTGATAAGTCACTTGCTTGGTAATTTTGCGATTTTCGTTTATACTATTTTGACTTGCAACACAAAGTAAATATTTCACCTGAGCATTGCTGTTTTTATAGTGTGTATATTTTTTTACTGTAAAAATGTGTAACATTTTCAAATTTATTAAACGCCTAAATATTCAGTTATTTTACCAAGTGACTGAAAAACATTTCAATCTGTATTATTATGATAACGAATTCCAAACATTTTGATGTTTAATGTCATCACCAAGAGACTGAAAATGTTACGTTGAAAAGTACATTTCTATGTAGTTTGGCTTCTAATCCTACATAATAATCTGCTTATGATGTTTTTAGGCCCTTTTGATCGTCTTAATCAATTTTAGTCAATCTGGACAGATTTTTCAGTCAAAATGACTGAAATATTTACACATTTTATAAATTGCCTGAGAGAATCACATTTTACAAATTGACGGTAATATATACACGCTTACAAAGGAAAAGACATGTGAAAACAACGTCTATCGCGCATTGAAGAATTTCCCAAGACGTAGCGGAACAAGAACGAATCGGTTCAATGCTACAGCAAATGAAGGAAAACAAAATGCAAATACCATAATTACAACCTACCAAATTTATGTGTATAAATTTTAGGCAGCTTCCTTGTTCGAGGAATGTATCCGTGAATATCCACACAAAGGAACAATATCCCACTCGTCTGCAGCTGTACAAAGAAACTTATTTGTTGTCACGTGTCTCTATAACAATCAAATATTTTAAAAGATATATATCGTTTCGGGATATTATAACCCGTGTTCGTTTCTCAACTGATCACTTGGATTGTTTCAGGTGTTTCACATAGGTGTCAAGTCTCAAGGGTCGGCTGAGAAAGCCCACGTGACAACTATTTTCAAAACGTCCACGGTTCCTAAAAAGTCCATTGAGTGATAGATAACAATGAACAATCAATCAACGTATTATCAGTGAACCCTTTAAACAAAGTATGTTGTTTTTACATCGGCACTTCACGCCATGATATGAGTGTATTCCCTTTGTTTTAGTAAACCTAGACATGTAAACACTAACTGTTGACATATCCACTGTGCAAGATAACAGTGATTAATCAATCAACGTATTTTCTGTTAATCCTTTAATGACTAGGAACGATCCGTTGATTTACAAAAAAAAGTAAATCAACTGATCATTCACCTCTTGCTGGGCTGCCACGTGCATATTACATAACACACATTTCACCTCACTTCAAACCTGGATTTAGATTGAATAATTACCCCAGACACAATAAATGCCAAATTGGAACCTTTGTCAGGTAATCTAAGTGGTGCTACCACTAATTGTACCTGTAATAAATTCATTAATTGAGCATCAAGTGAATGACGACAAGTGTAGCGTTATACCAGAAAACGTGGATGACAACAAGGGAGTAGTAATCGTATTATTGACGCAATCCGAAATCCGAAAATGCTTTCACTGCATGGATACTTTTTTATTATTATTAAACTATAACCATCTGGGGTAATTCCAAATGACGACATCCGATGAGCTCCGCTGTTGTTTTTGTCTGTTTTTTTAGGCTGAAGAAATTAATTAACATGCGCCCTTTGTCGAAATCTTTATAGATCACAGTTACCAATCAGTGTTCAAAAATGCGTAAAACAAATATTGCCTCCAGCCTCCAAGTTTATTTAGCTGTCCTTGCAGACGGTAGCCCTGTCTCTGGTCACGCTCAGTTGCGCTGCGTATCATCCGGGTACTCACGGGGGAAAAACAATAACAAAGGCAACAACCAGTCCGGGGAATTGCGTTAGATCAGTGCCCCTTTAAGTCTCATCTTGTCAACACGATCTCTATGTCTCATCTTGTCAACACGATCTCTGACCTGATGTCTCATCTTGTCAACAGGATCTCTGACCTGAAGTCTCATCTTGGGAACACGATCGCTATGTCTCATCTTGTCAAAACGATCTCCAAGCCGATGTTTCATCTTGTCAACACGATCTCGGTTCTAATGTCGCATCATGTCAACAGGATCTCTATGTCTCATCTTGTCAACACGATCTCCAAGCCAATGTCTCATCTTGTCAACATTATGTCTGACATGATGTCTCGGCTTGATGAGATCTGATCCCTGTACACTGTCAGAGTCAGTGGAGATGAATATATGAGGCTGCTGGCATCTGATTTGCTGAAATACAAATGTTTGATGATGCATGTTCAGTGCTGGAGATTCAAATGGTTGACGATGCATGTTCAGTGCTGGAGATTCAAATGGTTGACGATGCATGTTCAGTGCTGGAGATTCAAATGGTTGACGATGCATGTTCAGTGCTGGAGATTCAAATGGTTGACGATGCATGTTCAGTGCTGGAGATTCATATGGTTGACGATGCATGTTCAGTGCTGGAGATTCAAATGGTTGACGATGCA